AATGTTTGACCCATTCCGTAGGTTTATTTATGTATAACGTCGATCGAATATATCTTATAGCGACCTCACCTTAAGTACCAACCTCTAAACAATGAGGCACATATAATACTCTCATATATGTTTATATAAAGTATTAGGCCAATAGATAACCGACCAACATTCAATTACTCATATAGTAGTATGAAACATAACCCTCTTTGGACTGTAAATATAAGTTTTAAATAACTTATTAATTAGTTACCATTCAATAAATGCATTGGCCAAAGATCATCGACGTTCCAATAGTTTTCTTCGGGTTGATCAACTGATAATGGCATCATGATCGAATCCGATGAATAATTGCCGTAATTAAGCTGATGATCGATATTATTGTTGACATGTTGATACGACGTTATTGGAGAATATGTTTCCATGGTTTCTTGCGTATTCAAAAGATGACTCGTGCTCGTTGAATGATCGTTGATGATCTCGGAGCATTGTGATCCGACGGTGGACGTTGCTCCTTGCTTGATGATGTATTTCTGGATCTTGGTCCTCCAAAAATTCTTGATCTCGTTATCGGTTCTTCCTGGTAAATGCTTTGCAATTTTCGACCACCTGATCATAATAAGAGTAATTAATCATCTTCAATTAATATTTTCTTATGTTTTGTATTATGAAAAATGATAATATGTGAAGTTAGATCCAAGTTGTGGCTGCAGGGGACCAGCTACATCTACATTGAGCAAAGATATTAAGGTTCGAATCTATTTGGTTTATTTAAAAAAACTGTGAGATTTTAGAGCAACGGTAGGAAAATGCTATTATTAAATGGTGTGAATAACATTTAACGTTCGAGAACAAGACCCGAAAGATGGGTAGGTAAATCAGATACCAATTAACTTCAATCAAAATTTCAATTATACGACTATATAGAATATCTAACTTTCGGTATCCATGTGTGTTGTATATATATTTTGTTTTGACAAAAAAAATACACCATATATTTGGGTACATGTCTTTGTGTGTATATATATTAAAAGAGATTTTTTATAACCAAATTAACAAAAAAAAAAAAAGATTCATGTGATGTTCTTAATTAAGAATGTAAACTACATAAGCAGAAATAATCCTATATATATATATCTAAAATAGGGATATCACCGGTGTAAAAAAAAAGAAGTAAATCGCATTCTCAAGCATATGATGACTTTGAGCTAAAACATTTTTTTTTTTTTGAAAACAAAGCTAAAACATTTTTCCAAACTTGAATATATTTTTCCTGGTCAAAACACCATTTATTGGAAAATATCTTGTATAAGCTTTTGCTTCTTACAAACTTATATGAATAAGAACAAATTATAGAAAAAAACAAAAGTTAGAACCACGACTTTGTGGTAGAATCGGCAGGAGGTTTAATTTTGAGTGGTATGGGAATTTCAACACGTGTGAAAACTTAAACAAATGGCTGAAACGAATTGGAAAGTTTTGTCACACCCACCAATATGTTTGGCTTCATCACCTAATGTCTTGCTTTGATGTCTTTTAAAATATCCTTTCAATCTTTAGCCTCAAGAATATATATAAAACCGATCCAAAGATCGAACATTTAAGCTTTGCATCCCTCATTACACATATATAACCTTATCATGTTAGTATTTTATATCGATATTTTGGTATATATAAACAAATTACAAACCTATTTCCCCATTTGGCATGAAGTTCCATGATGATGAGCTGCTCCTCTGCTGTTATATTTCCTCGTCGTACATCTGGTCGGAGGTAGTTCAGCCACCGGAGCCGACAACTTTTTCCGGTGCGTTTAAGACC